TACTCTTGGCCATCGAGTCAGTGGTGGCAATCCTGCTTAGCCCTAGGGCAATTGGTGCTGCCCAAAACAAGTGTAAATAGAACAAGGTGCCCCATGGAGCCAATGCCTCGGGTCCCTGGGGGTACAGGCCTGTACTTGTAGGAAACGGCCATCATACACATCAGTCTTTTCCAATGCTTCTGTCACTGGGCTGAGTCCAAAGAACACCCTCTCCCAAAACATTACAAAGTTTATTGGGGCTACCATTTATCGAGCATTTATCATGTGCCTGATCACGTACTAGTGTAATAATTGCATGCATTATTTTATTATTTTATTTATTGACTTATTCATTTATTTGAGATAGGGTCTCCCTCTGTTGCCTGGGCTGGAGTGCAGTGGAGTGATCACGGCTCACTGCAGCTTCAAACTCCTGGCCTCAAGTGGTCTCACCTCAGCCTCTCGAGTAGCTGGACTACAGGCATAAGCCACCAAGTCCAGCTAATTTTTTAAAAAACATTTTCACAGAAATGAGGTCTGGCTTTGTTGCCCAGGCTAGTCTTGAACTCCTGACTTCAAGCGATCCTCCCCCTTCAGCCTTATTATTGCATTTTATCTTCACCATCACGCTGTAAGAGTGCCTGGGGGTAGGTACTCCAAACAGTAGCAATATAGCAGCCTCCACTCATAGGTGACAACGAGACACAGTGTAGACAAGCAACTTCTCAAAGGTCACACAGCTGGAGGGTGGCTGAGCCAGGATGAAGACCTAGGACTCTAAAGCTGGTGCGCCAGTAAATGAGAAAATCTCTGGGGGTTCAGGATAGCTTCCTCCCAAGAAATCTTTCTCCAAAGGTTCTAAAAACAATGACAGATCCATCTTCCATGAAGCAAACAAAACTAGCAGCTCCTTCACTTTGGGGCGGGGAGTGGAGGAGGATAAAGGTTAGATAAGCTCCAGGGCAACCCATTTTAATCCGACATATTTATAAGGCAACGACCAGGACAGCACCTCAAACCTAAAGAACCATGCACAGCTGTCTCTGTGTGGCATGGAGTGTCCCTGGATGTAAAGATTTTCCAATGTGTGCTTACAGGCCAGTGGCATCATCCTCAGTCACAGGGTAAAGGGCAGCTAGGCCTGGCCTGCTAGGCACCACCGTGAGAATCTGCTGAGCTTTCCAACTAGTTTATCTGTTGTTTGCAGTGAAAGATGCCCTGAAAAAGAAGGGGTGTGGGTGGGAAGAGTTCTGATTTGAGGTCCCCTGATCCAGGCACGATCTCCTTCCCCAGTCTCAGGAATCAGGAGACTCCATCTGTAAACACAGGCTCAAGCTATGTCCCCCAG